GCCAGGCATGGTGGTGGGAATGGTACCCAAGAATGTTATATAAATGACTTCGTAAAAATCTGTAAATTCCTGGAATAACGTGGCTCATACTATTTTGCATGACGGTTTCGCAACTTCACAAAGATGTGTATGCCAATGTGAGACCTGCTAGTTAACATGAACTATCAGCAGGAGCAACCAGAAATACAGGAAGCCCCTCCATAAGCCGGAGGACGCCTACGAAACTTCCTTACCACCTGAGCCGAATTGCGCGAACAAAATTTTGTTGCGATTCTGGGAATGTATATAAAAGTAGGATACTGCCGGATCAGCTGTTGAACTCAGTTTTCTTCCATAATTTATACTTCACACAGTTGATTCGGCCTTCCTTTAGTAACTCATATATAGTTTCACATGATATGATTGTGCAGATGTGTACCTTCGAATATGCATCGATGACATTACTTATTCACTTTTTCAGAGGAAGTCAGACAGGATCATGTTGAGGATGACTATGAAGATGAAACGGGAGTAGAGTGCACTGACCAGGAATTCAGGTGAGACCTTTTTAGAACTTTCCCTGAAGCTTAACTGTAATCATTTCTTCAAACGGTTTTCGTCTGTTCAGATGTCCATATCTGGCCGAGACAAAGTGCTTCCATTACGACAAGCTATGTGATGGAGTTGATGATTGCGGCGATGGAAGTGATGAGGTACTCTCTACTCCTAAATGCTGCAGGGTTTAAATGTTGTCAAAAATAAAAAATGGTGTAGGTACAGAGAAAGGGTGCCTTGGGATAAGGACCTTGATTTCTACCAATCAGCCAGCAATCCTATCATCTGTTCGATCTTTAGAATGTAAATATCTAAATGGGGCTGCTACTGTATTCAGGATCGAGTAGTTTTCGCTATCACAGATACGCTGATGATGAGTTATGGGCAAAAATCTTGAACCCAGACGGAACTCGAAACCGCACCTCACGCTTAGCGGACGAGTGCGCTGACCTTTACCCCCCACCAAGTTCGTCTGAAAATTTTTCTTTGGAGGTGCCAGAATTTTAATGATCTCATTACGACTTCTGGCACCAATCACGATAAAGCAATTTTTCAGCTGACACCAACATTTCTTCACAGACAACCTTTTAGGCATAATTCCGCCTTCTTATCATTCCGTTTCTAACATAGAGTCGGTCAAGACGTAGAATAGAAGTTATATCTGAAGGGAGAGCTGCATGTGCCCCATATGCCTCCCGAAATTACCATTCGCGGTTCCTTGAAAACCGTTCATACAGAGAACGTACCTACTTATGGTTTACCCTGTTCTCTGATTGAACATCAGTAAGTGTAGGAAGGTAATTAAATGGTTCCACATTTTCAGTCGCATTGCGAATCAGGCAGTCAAGAGGAGCGTGAGTTCAGTGGAGGACAGGAGTCTTCGGTGTCATCCGACCCAACGGTCAGGATTTCTTAAGCTTTTGTATGATCGTATCTGTGTAATCCCGTCTTTCTTGAAATCCACCCACCTCCCAAAATATCATGCAGCCGTCGCAATCCCGCCCGGTTAAGCCAACAAACAAGGAATGAACTTGCCCTCAGCTGGGCTCATCATCTTAGGTTAAGTCACATTGAGAGGGGCTCTATTTCTACCCTATAGGTCTCTACGGAAGGGTAAAGAGATCCTGTTTGCATCGGCGAGGTGAAGAGGTGTTGCAAGTGAGGCGCGCGCGTAGCATTTGCGTTAGAATCTAATGGATTTGGCACCAAACGCTCGGTAAGAAGAGCTAATTAGCTTGGGATGTGGGCAGTTTAGCTTTCGCCTCTCGTCACAGAGTATCTTCCATCGCACACCGTTAAGAATTCGGATTAGCTGCTGATCACTGTTGAGAGCCGATTAAGCTGAACTTTCCTGATTTGATTAGACCTCTTCCTAAGGAAGCATTCCATTTCAGGTACATAGTTGTCCGCACCACCAATTCAGATGTGGAGACGGTACGTGCATCGAGAAATCGCTTGCATGCGATCGGAAATATGACTGCTCAGATGGGACCGACGAAACAGAATGCGGTAAGTGAGGCACTATAACGAGCCCTTCAGTGAGCCTGTCAGTGGCATAGATCAGGCAGATGGTGGAGGTAGCCTACACTTTTTGCTGAGTATTAAATGGTGCCCCCACCAAGCCGAACTGAACCTTTTACTAGAATCAGAGCTGTGACCTGGAACCCTAATCCTTTTTTGTTCAGATTACTTCAAACAGGCAATGTCACGTCGAGGACAAGAAGAGCGTCGAGGGGATGAGACCCATAGGAGGGAAGAAAACGGAAGAGAAGACGAGGAAGCGAGACGAAGAGCAGAGGAGCTTCGGCGACGAGAAGAACAAGAACGACGTCGTGAAGAAGAGCTACGAAGACGTGAGGAGGAGGAACGCAGACGCGAAGAAGAACATCGTAGACGTGAAGAAGAGCAACGCAGACGTGAAGGAAATGACCAAGATCGTGAAGAGGAGGAGAGAAGACGTGAAGAGGAGGAACGGCGTCGAGAACATGAAGAACGAAGACGTGAGGAGGAGGAACGCCGACGAGAGATGATGGAGAGAAGACGTGAAGAAGAGGAACGAAGACGGGAAGAAGAGGAACGCAGACGAGGCGGAGAAGGACAATACGGAGGAGAAGAAGCAAGAAGACGTGACGAAGAAGAACGTAGACGTTTGGAGGACGAACACCGTCGACAACAAGAACATGCACGAAGAGAAGAGGTGGGTGCGTTCGGTATCACGAGAGTTTTGGGGCTTACTTGGGAGGCTTTCCGCTCGAGATTTCGTAGCCGTGGTCGGATTGGTCACCGTAAGGAAGTGGACCCTGATGTATATTACTCCACATTTGAGTCATGGGTACGGTAACCTTTTCGTGGTTCTCATGGGATTTTTTTGGCAGTAAGGAAGAGAGCAAATTTCTTGATCTCTAGTAAATAAGGGTATTAATTACGGAGTTGCGATAGCATTCTCAAAACCTATATAATCTTTTACCCGCGTATTTTTCTTCCTATAGGAGCTAGCCCGACGAGAAGAAGCTCAACGTCGAGAAGAGCATGAACGTCGCCTACAGCTGGAAGCGAGACAACGCCAAGAAGAAGAAGAAAGGCGCAGATATCAGGTATGTCACAGGAATTCAGCTTCAGTATGATCTACTGAGCTCTGAACTACGGCGTGATGTTGAAGTTGTTGGTTAAGTCCAGCTGCGTTTATACTTTGCGGCAGCGACCAGCAGCGTCCACCAGCGATCAGCAGCTCTAAGCGTCCTTTAGCGTCAGCGATTAGGGAAGTATAGATGTCAAGCTTGCGCCTGCCAGTGCTTTCCAGCGTCCATCAGTGACGAGCAGCTTCTAGGAGTGGAGAGTATGGGGCGACAGGAGGGTAGTAGACATCTGGTACCATCCTATCGCCCATATTGTCTACCAGCAGCCTGCTACCCTCCTACGCGCAATTCCAGCACTCAGCGTTGTCTGTCACTTAACGCAGTCAATGAAATCCTATATTCATTGGAAATACACTGTCGAGTTTGGTCAGATATACTTACAGGAGTCTCTAATAATTCGTGGTCTAAAATATGCATGTATAATTCATACATTTATTTACGTATTATTTATTATTTATTTATTCATTTATTCAATTATTTATGTCTGGTTAGTTCCTATTTACATGCATGTTCATTTACTTATGCTCGCTTTTTTGCCCATTCAAAAAGTGAGGAAGTACAGCCATGCTCCTTGCAAGGGGAGTGTAGAATGAAGAGAGAGGGAGGGGGGGGGTGGAATTGCAGCGCTGCCTAGACCGCCTGTCTCAACAATGATGCCATTACCAAGAGAAACAGAATGAAGTGACCCTGAGTCATTTTAAATTTATAACAAATAAATAAATACGTGACTACTGGTTGGTCCAATCTGCTCAGTCAGCAATGGCCTCACGAGAAAAGCAATGCTGTTCACTGCTGCTATACTCAAATTACACTCCATATCCCTAGATATGAGGAGGGCGTGGCTGCACACTTCATGCGAACGCGGTAGCGGCTGCAATTCCGGAGCATTTCGGATAGTTCTACTTTTCTTCCTATTCCTCAACTTGGTACCTTGTCACTGTCGTTTCAGCTTCATTATCTACATGTGGCCGCAGGCTTTTCTTGCCAGTCGTTTACTGTGGCTTGCGTTCGTTCTTTCTTCTTCTTCTCAGTTCGCTGTCGCGACCTCTCCTTCTCCAAGAGTAGTGCGCGTGGGCGGTGAATATTCAACAGATCATTCTCAGCGGCAGACGAAGACGGAGTTTATTTGATTGCCCAAATGTGTGTCCTTTTTCATGAGAAATACCCCCTCCTTTCTAAAATTACGTATTTGTGGTGCCAGCGCGGTACCAACTTTATGACGTGACAAGATGCTTGTAGTGGATGTGTAAGATCTCCGGAGACCAGCATTCGCTCATCGAGCACTCAAATTTTTCATCGCGGCGCTTTTTTGTACGCAGCGCTCCCTAAAAGGACGATGCGCTGCGGGTGCCATTTCAGCAATGATTTGTAGCAGAGCGAAATGAAGGCGATAGCAAGAACAGCGCACGGCAAGATCAAGTGAGAATGATGGGTACTCACCTAGCAATATTTCCATACATAAATCACTCTTAATGGTCTCCATATAGTTCTCAGGAACAAGAGAAGTTTCAGAAGTACGCTCTTTTGTGAAACTATGTATACAGTCAGTAATTGCGAAATAGCTCGAAAACCCTCCTGAAAACTCACTCAACTTGCGACAGAAGATATACAGGGGGGATCAAAAAAGTCACTTTTCTTTATTGACTTACGAGGCGCTATAAGTTACACTATCATGACACTCCGCCACAGCCTTCTGGACGAGCGCCATCGAGAGATTCTGGCACGCGACCGCGATGTGGTGCCTGAGATCAGCGAGATAGTCGATTTCTCCGCCACCGTAGACCACCCTATTGAACTCCGCCCGAACCGGGTAATTGAGGGGATTCAGGTCAGGTGACCTACTTGGATATTCCATCTTCTTTAGGTACTCAGCCCCCTTCCATTCCAAGTAGGCGAGAGTTTCTCCAATGCCCTTCGATTCCATGTGGTGGCACCCAATGCTGTAGCAGTACAAAGTTTCCAAGAAGGACGACATGTGAGGAGGATATTCTTCACGAGTTGCTCGATGTAACCGCCAGCGCTCACCTTCAGTCCGGGGTCCATCAAAAATATTGGTCTTTCCTTTCTCTGAGAATACGTCCGCTCTCAATTACCTACCCGCGCCTTGGCGATGTGGTTGAGATAGAATAGTACCTAGACGTGGCGACGTTGTCGGAGCTGCTGAATGTTTGAGTGATCCAGAATTCGAGAGTTCGCTGGTTCCGGGTAGCTATCCATGGGTTTACTCGCATAGTGAGAAGTTTTCGCAGTTTTGTTTTGGGAGGTGAAATGACTTCGTAAGGGTATTCTAAGTCGGTTATGGCGACTGGAGGATGACTTATATGTTTTGGTGTACATGAAGGTGATGGGCGAGAGCCAGCTCCTGCTTATAGAGGAACTCTTGGGTATCTTCCGCCCTGGTACTCGTATCCACGTCCTCTGTCTGGGCAGCGAAATTGGCTCGACATTGTGACTTCGGTCGAAGTGATTTTGGCCCCCGTCCCCCTGTATGTTCCTGTAGCATCCTGTAGACAGAATCTCCCTGAAACCTTTCCAAAAAATGAGCAATGAGGTTAGATATAATCAGAAGAACAGCCCATTCAAAATAAAAAGATTTCACCATTGGCAAAGTCCCTTCTTGAAACACAGTTCGCATTCTTTACCTTTCGGAATCGTAGCAGCATTTTGAATGCGATTTGGCCTGTATAGTGTGGCTTCAATGGGCCACCCGATGTGCAAGTCAGTGCTTTTTCCTCCTAGACGAGCCTGAAACCAAACTAGCGACCCGGCCCCGGCAGTATAGAAGACCTGTTTGGCCAGGCCAAAGGAAGATTTATTCATAGAAATCCACCAGGTGGTGTAGAGACAAGTGCACTTCGCTCACCAGGCGCACGGTTCGGAAAGCTCCCGCCCAGGTCAGCTAGGCCGTCTTACGGAACGGTGAGTTGCTACCAAATTCTTATGGGGGGGGGGATGAAACAGTGACTTTTTCATCGACTACTGCAGCGGTCCTAGTGCATGGACGTCATATCCTCATAAGTGAGCCACTTTGGTTCTCACTTGAAGTCAATTTTAAGTTCATGTTTGGGCTGTATCACAAAGGGTAGGGTTGGGATCAGCGGCGAAAGCTTTATTAATTTTTTGATCATGATTGCGTGAACCTGTTTCGAAAAATATTGCATATGAGCATTCCCCTAAAGCTGAGCGCTACTTTACATCTTTTGCCACTTCTAGCGCTTTTCTTTTGTGCCAAGAGGTAACCCAGTGAGCTGTTAGGTTGAACTGTTATCCATGGCCTGACCATCGAACAGCCATCTTCGTCATAGGCTGAAACATAGCTCAAGGTTCGAAAGGATTTCCGCCTTGGTCGTATGGGTTGAATCAGCCAAACCGACGCTTCTTTGTCATTGGTGCGCCTCCACCGCCCTCTTTGCATCTTGAAAAGAAGAGACAACGGAAGGAAAGTGCGCAATGCTCCCAGCGGTCCCGCCCAAATTGCACCAAATTGCAGTTCTGCAATTTTCCGCCCGCGTGCTTTACTGTCAAGTAACACACTTACCGCGAGCGCATTCTGAAGGCCTTGGATCAACTGAGGTCTGTACCCCCCCCCATCGCGTTAGGTCAGCCACTTCGATTCCAGACGGAAATCTCATGCGTGCTGTGTCCCAAGAAAGGTCTGATAAACAGGGGAAGCTTCATCTTATTCCTCTACACTATATTATTCCTCTACAGTGTAGCAATCTCTTATTGCGCTCTCCATCTCAGCGCTGGCTATAGCTTTCAAGGTTCCAAATATTGAACAGCAGTGCTTTCATCACAACGTTGATGGCGCGTCAAAAGTGGTAAAATGTGCAACTGAAATTCATAAGTTTTAGCCAGGTCATTCCTTGAGT